CACCACCAGCCAAACCTGTTTCCGTGGTAAATGCGCAAGGTCATCATCACAGCGGGCAGCCTGCCCTTCGAAGCGACAAGGCCTGTGGTCTGTGGAACCGCACGGCCAAGTTAATGGCGAACGCAATGGGCCGTTGGCCTCTCTCTCGTGTTAAAAGCACTTGGCAACCGGTCATGGACAGGGTGGCCTGCGGGAAAACAGCTGTGGTGGGGGAAGGGACACCAGAAACTGGGATGCTCAGGAGATGAACACGGGTCACCGATAACACGCCGTCCCCGGAGCTTCCACGCAAATCTGGCTTCTAGAAAGGCGAACTCAGTCAGGACCCCGCCTCCGCACTGAGCACAGAGCTGGGCTCCGGCTGTGGACGAGCACAAATCAGCAACCGCGGGAGGGACGCACGCCCGCGGCCTGGCATCGGTGGGCACGGAGATCTAACGCTCTCCGGAAATTAGGCGGCTTCCAACGGTGAGACCGGCCAGAGAGAACCACCAGGGAAAGCCCCCAGGAAAAGTGCAGACTGTGCCCAGACCACAGGGAACGGATGAGTGAGCTTTCCGGGAAAAGGCAAAACCAAGACCCCACCGACCCCTCGTTCAGGACAAAAACTGCCTGCGTGAGCAGCTCAGATCAACGGCTGCAAATAAAGTAGCTCAGAAGTGTGACTGAATTTCGCTCATTTCACCCACAAAACTCCAACAAGCCCCTGTGGCCTGCTGGGCGGTTACCCCCTGTCACCACGAAATGATTCGCGGTGTGTTCTGCTCCCTCAGTTCACCCCGTAGTGCCAGGCCTTGGCACCCAGAAACGCCGGCTCCGCACGCCAGTCTCTCAGGGAAACGGCAGCAGCAACGTAGGTTACAGCTGCCCTCAGGCCCTTCGCTCCCCCTCCCCTGAGAGGTGGGCGCCGAGTTCCTGGAGCCCGGCTGCCCTCGGACACTGCCTGATGGACAGACGGCGGGCGGGGCGAGCTGCCTTCTGAAGCCGGGTCCTAAGCACACGTTCCCCCCTGGAAGGCAGCCGCTATGTGAGACGTGTGCTTGTGCCAAGCCCCCCGGCCTCCCACAGAGACAGGGAATGAAGGACGGGGGGCCACGTGCAGAGAGAGGGGCCAAGCAGCACACAGTCAGGACACACAGACTGGACATGGGGTTCAGGAGCCTCCAGCACAGTGTGGCCTCCACCTCCAGCCAACCCCGCGGATGCCGCATGGAGCCGAGACGAACCACCCGGCTGAGCCCTTCCCGAGTTGCCAAGAATGATCAACACACTAAATAGCTGTCTTAAGCACCAAGTTTGGGATGATGGAGAGCCACAATGTATCTTTTCTTCAACAACCCCAGTGCTACAAAACTGACGGCTACCTCGCACTGCTTCTCAAAAGAAAACTTCTTAAAACGTTTTAACGCAAAAAGAAAACCATTTTCTCACAGACCAGTTCCTTACAAATTCTCAAAACCAAGCGAGTGGTTACTCCTGCCCCTGCCCCTGCTCAGCCTAAGGGACCAGCCAGCTTGAAGAATTACTTCACGAAATGAGAAAGCTTGGTTTTCTTCTCCCAACGGGTAAAACAGAGGTGGGCAAACACAGCCGTGTTCATCTTCTCCGTTAAGTTCTGTACACTCGGTCTTAAGGACACAGAGCGCCTTTCTTGTAGATGGTGGTGCGTGGTTTCTGTGACATCGGTGTACACGACACAGTGGAGTGGGTTCTGATGACGACCGTGTCCTTATCAAAGGCAGTTCGGATCTAAAACAGTAACAGCTGTTTCAGAGACTGGTTGGAGCTCGCTGACTTCACAGTATTCTCGGGTCTCCGGAGGGACAGTCTTCGACACGTGTGCCAAGGTGTTCTCATCCTCGGGTCAAAGCCCAGGGTGGCATTCAGGTGCACCTGTGCGTCAAGGGTCATGTGGACAGGACGACTCAGACCGGGCAGCGGCGCTGTCGTATAGACCGCGGCTCTGTCTTCACGGACTCGCGCCATCCAGGGCAACCGCGTATCCTGGCTTTAATGTGTCCTTCCCTGACTGCTAGTGAGATGGACTATCTTTCCTTATATTTATTAGCCACTTGATGTTTTTGTCCTTCTTTGCCCATTTTTCTATTTGATTATTTGTTTTTACTAATTGATTGTAAAATAGATTCTGCACCCTCATTCGCTGCTGTTCTTGTGTGTTACAAACACCTTCCCCAGAGGTATGGCTTGTGTTAGACTTTTTTTTTTTTAAGTCATTCTTTTCAGGTTGCAGCCACATGTATTAGCGTTCCCTTCGTGGTCAGTGTTTCTTGTTTAAGAAATCTTCTCCTGGAGCTTGCTTACTGCCATGTCCTTTACTGTGTTCTTCCTGGCACCTGGTCATAAAGCGGAAGCCCACCTGCAGGCAGGGCCAACGCGTCCACACACACGGTCTAGAAACACACGTCACCGTTTCAGGGGGACACGCCCAGGGAGCCCAGGCGGGGCTGACCCCTCGGTCACTTCCGGCAGACGGCCAGGGGCAGCCGACCCACACCGGTACCCGTCACTTGGAAGCTCCGCTCAATTAGTGTCGAATTGGACTCATTAAGAAAGACAGTTTTATTACTTTCTCATTATGAGGATTCAGACTAAAGGCTAATCACGTCTCCGGATCCAGGCTGACCACCAGCTGTTTCCGCAAACGGGTAAGACGGGGCGTCAACTGAGCCCTTGAGGTTCACAGCGAGCCCGTGGCCGACGCGCTGCTTCCTCGCCAAGCCCCACACCCACTCGGGAGACCCGGGCCGGCGTCGGAACTGGAAACTGACTTTTCTTTCCTAACGATTTCTGAGTGGGCTCTGAACACACACAGGGTCGCCGCTCATCCAAAATGCTCCATCTCTGACTGATAAATGGGGCGACCCCATCTAGAGGCCTCCGCTGTGGGTTTGTTTCTGTTTCTTTGTTTTCTCTGAATTTGCGAAGCTTTGGACTCCTCGGAGCAGGGCCGCGGACTGAGTGCCTCCTGGCCCTGCGGGCGCTGCGGACGGGCACCCTCAGGACTCTGACGGCCGCGTTTAGCGTGTCACAGACGGCGTCGGACACACAGCATCTTGTGACGTTTAGTGCTACACGTCAACGGCTTCCAGCAAGCGACATGACGTCATCTCGCAGACAGGGGAAGCCTCAGGTCTCGGGTTTTAACCCCGGTTCCAGGCAATCGACCAGCAGGAGTTGGCAGAGCGAGGGCACGTCAGAGAACATGCGTAGAACACGCGTTCCTGGGGGAACAGAGCTTCCCTGACCTGAACCTCTGGTGTCTGTCAGCTACATGCTCCTCTGCACAAGCATCCACCTCCCAAAGAAGGTCCTGGGGGACCACGGAAGCTGGGCACGCACAGCCGGACGCGGGGGGCCTGTGACCTACTGATGGTAGCTCCAGGGGACGGCGGAGAGAAAGAAGTTGCAGGACACAGATCCCTGCGCTCAGTCCCCAGATGCTCTCTCCACCCAAACCAAAGGCTACTTATTACCAAGACTGAGCCAAGTTCCATCGCTACAGTGAAAAGACAGTACCCAGCTCTAAGTCACAATGACAAACTTCAACGTGTAAGGCAGATGAACTAAAGAATGACTGTCCTTAAACTCACCCAGCACTTACCAAAAACAAACAATAACAAAAACGCCACGCCCAGACGGAGAGGGAGGAGAGAACCGATTGTTATCAGGGGGACTTTAACACCCCCAAGGAAAACGCGCCATGTTCCACGGCGTTCCTATCTCCGAGGGTCAGGACGCGAATTCTGTCGCGTGGCACCTCAGACCACGTTAGGACATGCTCAGGAATCCAAAACACTTATCCTCAACGGCTGCTATAATCAAACTCATCTGGGTTTAAAACGAACGTGATTTAACAAAAGTCTAATTAAGCCAAGGCAAACAGCGTCTCTCACATTATCTCTTCCAAAGGAAGAAACTAACCCTACTTCTCCTTAAAGGACGCGGTACTCCTTGTAAATGCCTGGTCTTTGGCATATTCTTCTTCTTTTTTTTTTCTTATCTTTGTTAATCTTCACCTGAGGATCGTCTTCCACTGCTGTTTAGAGAGAGTGGAAAGGAGGGAGAGAGAGACACATCGACTGGTTGCTCCGGCACGACCCCGACCAGGGGCCAGGGGTCAAACCTGCAACCCTGGTAGGTGACCTTGACCGGGAATCGAGCCTGAGCCAAATCAGCCAAGGCCTGCGTATTCTTTTTTTTTAATCCTTACCGAGGACATTTTTCCATTTTTTGTTCCGATAGAGTGGGAGGGAGGGAGAGGGAGAGAGAGAGAGAGAGAGAAACATCGACGTGAAAGGGACACATCGAGTGGCTGCCACTCGCACAACCCACCAGGGCCGGGGACAAACTGCAACCGAGGTACGTGCCCTTAGCGGGATCCGAACCCGGGTCTCTCCGGACCGCAGGCCGACGCTCTAACCGCTGAGCCAAACCGGCCAGGACGGCCTGCGTATTCTTATACAAGACCCTCCACAAATCGTGCTGTGAGTTCTTCACTCCACACTCATATCTCCAGCACCAGCGCTACTCGGAGAGAAACAAAATTGTCACTGAGGCTGAAGTCATAGTTTCATCCCAGACTCAGAAGTCACAGGTTTGGGCTGGACGTTGAGTGGGCAGCGCCCATCCCCTCTCCAGCCTGACCCTCCGGGGGCTCGGCTCACCTGTCAGCCAGGCAACACCCACTGTCAAAGGGCCCCTGCTGGGCCATGTCAGCCTGCCTGACCGAGGCCAGGGGCAGCCCCGGCTATGCCAAAGGCCTAACGTCCGTGCCCCTGGCTGTTCTGTGACAGCCTAGACCATCGGTGGTCAGAACACCTTCACCACCAAACGGACAACCCGGACAGAACACCGGTTTGCATTTTGCAGGGAAAATGGGGAGCCCGTTGCACCCAGCTCTCCTGAGCAATGAACTACTGGGCGCATCGAGGCACACCTGAGTGCGAGCCCGCACAGGGGGGGATCCCGAGCTGACTCACCTCAAGGTGAACTGGTCCTCCGTGCAGTTTTTGGAGACCGAAACAGGGAAAGTGAGCACGTCGCCCGGCCGCGCCGTCTGTGGCAGGTAGTGGACGGCCACGTTGTGGTCCAGACGCAGCTCGCGCAGCGGGGGCCGGCCGTGCGTCTGGTGAAGGAACACGCTCCCGATCCTCTGCAGCGGGGGACCCGACTCGTCCACGTCGCCGGGGCCCGGGGGAGCCCCGCTGCTCGGGCCCGACTCGGCCCGGACACAGTCCCCGCGCTCGTCCCCCGGGTGCACGGTGTAGTAGAGTTCCACGGCGCTGCCCTCGGCCGGGTCCACGGGCCTCCTCCTCCCGGCCACCACGGCGGGGGCGCTGAACCAGCTGGCCGGCAGCCGCAGCTCGGCCACGCACAGCCCCAGCTCGCCCCGCAGCCCGCAGCTGCCCCGCACCTCCCTGGTCTCCCGGAACGCGAACACCCGCAGGCACGGCAGCTGCTCCCCGGGGCGGCGCTCGGCCCAGTCCCGGCCCACCACGTGGAACAGTACCTGCACGGTGGGCCGGCCCAGGGAGATCCTGTCCCGAAGGACGTGGGCCTTCAGCCTCCAGCTGAGCGAGGACGCGCCGGCGGCGCCGAAGGGGCCGGACGGCGGCAGCAGCAGGTCCGGGGGCACCGGCTGCCGCGCGGAGAACGGGCCGTAGCTGGCGCTGAGCGCGGGCGGCCGCCGCGCCCTGTGGATGAGGAAGGACTCCACGCGGGACTGCAGGCTGGAGTTGCGCATCACGTCCTGGTTGGCCTCCTTCAGGAAGAAGGACACGTCGGCGTCGTGCACGCGGTAGGTCACGGGCAGGTAGGTGGGCAGCAGGGAGAACCTCTGGGTGGTGTCCAGGCTGCCGCGGCCCTCGGTCACTGCGGAGGAACGGAGGGGGTGAGGGGGGAGGGCAGGCAGCGGCGCCCCGGCACCCCGCGGCGCCCCACGGCACCCCACGGCACCCCGCGGCTCCCCACGGCGCCCCGAGGCACCCCACGGCACCCCACGGCACCCCGCGGCACCCCACGGTACCCCACGGCACCCAATGGCGCCCCACGGCACCCAATGGCGCCCCGCGGCACCCCGTGGCGCCCCACGGCACCCCATGGCGCCCCACGGCACCTTCCACAGCTGCCGGCTCCGTGCCGTGACGCGAGGTCAGGGGCTTTACATCACAGCCCTGCACCCAGTCACCCCGTTTGCACGCGCGCACACCGGCCAGGACCGCGCTGCCCAAGGTTACGGGAGCGAACCGGACCCACTGCGCCCACGTAACGTCGTCATGCTATAACGTGGCGCTGTGGTCCTGTCGTAACGTTGCGACGTCATGACGTTGTGGTGTGGTGACGTCATGGTGAGGTGACCTCATGGCGTGGTGACGGCGTGATGACGTCCTGGTGTAGTGATTCGCGTGTGGGTGACGTCATGGTGAGGTGACCTCATGGCATGGTGACGGCGTGATGACGTCCTGGTGTAGTGATTCGCGTGTGGGTGACGTCATGGTGTGGCGTCATGATTGGGCCATCGTGGTGTGGTGACGTCATGGGAGTGGTGACATCGTGGGGCGGTGGCGTCATGGTGTAGTGACGTCATGGTGTAGTGATGTTATGATGCCCTAATGTCTGATGTAGTCACGTCATACTGTCACTCCACAACGCATCCCTGTTTGTGCCGGCTCCGCCTGTCCATGGTGATGCTACGGGCTCCAACTGCCCTGAGCAGGTGAGCTTCCCCCACCCGCCCCTCTGTGCACCACGTGACAACCGGACCAGCCCTGCAGTTTCCATGACTACAAGACGCCCCTCAGCAGTACCCCCGGGAAGCTTGGAGGGCACGGAGTTTAGCGCTTACAGGCCGGCAGCACCTCAGCCTGGGGTTCTGCTTTCTTGGGGGTGGGTTGGGGGGGGGGGGAGACGAGCCCAGGGCTTCAGGCTCACTCTTCATTGGGGAATTTAAAACACGGAGAGAAAACAGGTAGCCCCAACGGTCAGTTCTAAGAATGAAGAAGACGTCAACAGAGGGCCTCCATGGCCGGCGGCTCCCCCTGTCCCCTGCCCGCAGGTGTCCTCTGCAGACAGCGGAGCCCCTGTGGACGCGGCCTCCCCATCCCAGCTCGGGTCTCGGGCTCGCCTCACCAGGGGGAGAGCCAGCTGTCGGGGCTCACGCGCCCGTGACTCAGGTGTTGGTGCTGCTGGTGTGAGCAGACCTACTGGGCTGCCGTCCAGGAAGGGCTCACAGTCAGCCTCGGGCTGGGTGGTGCGGGGGTCAGTCACCCAACGTAAAACCACCCGACGGCACAGTCCCCAGAACGCATCCCCAGCGTTAAGCAGCACATGACTGTGAATATACTGGTTTTAAAAGACGTTGTGCCACTAACAGAAGTCAAAAACCAGTGTCACCTGTGGTGCTGAGGCGTCGAGTGTGCAGACAAGTCAAATCCAAACAGAAGAATGTTTTCAAACGTCAGTTTTGGTCACAGTGCCCTTTGGGATTACGGAGTTAAGGCTGGAACTTGCTCTCCTTTTTTTTTTAAATCCTCACCCGAGGATACATTTTACTGATTTTAGAGAGAGGAGAGAGACATCGATCGGTTACCTCCCATACACACCCCAACCAGGGATCAAACCCACAACCCAGGCATGTGCCCTGATCGGGAACCGAACCTGAGACCTTTTGGTGCACGGGATGATGCTCCAACTGAGCCACACCAGCCAGGGCAAGACGTGTTCTTTTCTTGTTCAGAGGAGAGATCTTCACGGGCTAGAAAGGGGTTAAGAACGTGTAGCATCAAACAGGGAGGGGTGTTCCGTGAACACAAGTAGACAGGCTGAGGTCGGAAGCAGGAATAACCCTGTCAGCGTGAGCTTGGGGGCGTGTGGGGTTCCACCCAACACAGGCGCCACACCTAAGGACACCCCTGGCACTAGGAAATGATGAAGGACAAATGAAGATGGGCACCCCTCGACCCCCGGACTGCACACGCTCCCTCGGGGTTAGGCTGAGGACTCCCCGCGGGGGGTGTGCTGGGTGGACGCCTCCAGAAATCGAGGAGCTGAGCCTGCCTGGTCGGTTGGGTCCAGAGGTGCCAGGCTCGCACCCAGGTCCCTAGAACCCGAGCATCAAGGGAAACAGGGCATCAGCCCCTCCTCTGCGAAAGCACGCCTCTCCTGCTCCTCACTGAACACGTCCCCCCTCCGGGGTAAACAAATCCCAGACCGCACTTTCACAGTGCGCCTTATATTCTGCTAGAAAAACAGACGCAGAAATTACATAATTCAAAAACCAATTTAACGGGCTTTGGAAATGGAAATCAGCGGCTCCGAGAACTGGCTTTTCCAGACAGCACTCCGCGCACGGAAAGCACCCCCCGGCGCGACTCGAGGTGCCAACCTGGTTGAGAGGCCCACGTGACCTGGCGTCCGATGCACAAGGCCCACCTGGGCGAGGGGAGGGCAAAGCAGAGGGCTCAGAGGGGCCCTGGCCCAGCTCTGCTGCACGGGGCTCCCGAGACATAAGCGAGCCGCTGACCCGCTTGGTGTCCAGGGGGCTGGCGTGGGATGAGGGTGCCGACCAGGGCACGGAGGCCCGCCCGGTCCTCACACTGCAGGGAGCCGGGCTGCATCGGTTCAGCTTCTGAGCAGGAAGCCAGTTGGACACATGAGTGCAACCTGAGCTCACAGAACGTCTGTCCGCGCAGTGGCGTGACCACGTGCAGGGTGGAGGGAGCCCCACTTCCTGCTTTAAAACTGCCGGCACATGGGCCGTCCTGGCTGAGCCGTGCAGCAATGTGACATGTCCAACCTACACACAGGCCTTTCTTTTCCAGAAACCAAACCTGCACAGATACCATCGGAGACCTTGTTCCTTAACAGGATTACCGTGCTCAGCTCCAGGAAGTCATGTGGATTCAGTATTTTCTACAAGCTCGTGTTTCTCACGGGGGAGCCTCCGCGGAGGCAGAGAGCCGGCAGCGAGTTTCCTGCTGATGCCCCGATCCTCGCTCGTTTGTCCCCTCACTGGGCACCTGCCCCCCGACTCTGCCAGGCCCCGTCCCTGGCTCTCTGCAGGGCTCCCTTGGCTGCCGATGCTGGTGACACGGCCCCGTCCTAGAGGTCATGCTCCAGCGGCCTGTGTGCCCCTGAGTGGAGGTGACAGGTGGGCCTTTGCTCCGTGTTAGTCACGGTCCTTAGGAGACCCCCTGCAAAAGTTAGGTACTGGGTCAATATCTGACTCGTGCTTGGACGAACACATCCGCGAGGCTGTATTTTTATATTAGGCTTCTACGGGCTCCCTTCTCTGCGCCACCACTCAGTAACCAGAGCCCTGGACCCTGACCCATGCAGCACACCCCTCATCCGCATGGCCTGGCAGTTAGAAGGAGCCTCACCAGGCGGCGGGATCCCCGAAAGACCTCCATCAATGATGAAGGATCCCCTCATTCTTAAAAATACATCTTCGGCCCAGCTGGTGTGGCTCAGTGGTTGAGCGTCGACCCTGCACCAAGAGGTCGCTGGTTCGATTCCCGGTCAGGGCACGTGCCCAGGTTGTGGGCCCGATCTCCAGTGGGGAGCCTGCAGGAGGCAGCCAGTCGATGTTCTCTCTCATCGATGTTTCCATCTCTCTCCCTCTCCCTTCCTTTCTGTAAAATCAATAGAGAAAAATAATTTAAAAATACATCTTCACCCTGGCCAGTGTGGCTCAGTGGTTAGGGCGTCGGCCAACAGACCAAAGGGTCACAGGTTTGATTCCCGTCAAGGGTACGTAGCTGGGTTGCAGGTTCAACCCCCGGTCCTGGTTGGGGTCATGCGGAAGGCAACCAACTAATGTGTCTCTCTCACATTGATGTTTCTCTCCCGTCTCTCCCTTCCCCCCTTCCACTCTGTCTAAACCTCAGTAGGAAAATATCCTCGGGTGAGGATGCTCAGCAACAACAACAAATCTTGGCTCTGCTCTGAACTCTTTTGTTCGGCGGTTGTCTTTCTAGAAACTGCCAGAGCCAAGCCCCCGAGTTACAGGTAGTGAGACGTTCACACGGACACCCCTGCTCTGTGGACTCTCCCACTGAACACCTGCCCCCCTCGACTGGAGGCCGCCAAGCTTCGTCGCGTAACTGAGCGTGCGCTCGGCGGGCAGTGGGGCGGGCCTCTGGCTCCGCCCGGGGGCGTGGCACAGGGAGAAGCCACGTCCCACCTTCCCGGCACAGGTAGCCCATTTGTATGTTGCCTAGCAACGGACCTACACGTTTTCTGCTGGAGATGCTCCAAGGTGGCCTGGAGCTAGTGTGATTTCCTTTTTAAAATCAAAGGACCGGAATAATGGCAGGTCCGTCCCAGGGCGCACAGAATGGACGCGAGAGGAACTCACAGTCCTCACCTTCCCACCGCGGCGCGGGCACCGCCTGAAAATGAGCCTGGTACCAAGTAACAACAACAACAGGTTATGTGCAATAGATCTCAGTCAATGGCTCACTGAGAACAAGAACTCATGCTGGGCTCGGGCACCCCGGCTTCAAACACTTCCGTGGGAGGAAGCACCTCTGTGGCCCCGGAGAGAATCTATATTCCTTTTAACAGCTGGGAAAGATAATGTTCCCTAAACGAGATTCAGGAAGTACGGGGAGAGGACCGTCCGAGGGCAGACCTTCCGATCTTCCCGAGTGCACCCACAAGCAGTCACTAAGAAGGAACGGTAAAAGGTCGAAATCTGTATCTGTGCTGAAAATTGGGGTCCACCTGCCTGGAAGGGGAGGCTTCCTGAGAAGTCCCGGGGGGCCCAGGCCACACACAGAGAACCACAGGGACTAATGCAGCACGGGGCCTGCTTATAACTAAAATCAGAAGCAAACGTGTTGTTTATCTGACACAGAAATGCAACTGGC